CCGTTGGACGCCCGTCTCCCAGGCTTGCAGGGACCCCCCCGCAGCGCCTCATGCTCCCCCCTCGTCTTGACCAGCCTCGCTTCGCGGCTCACTCGCCTCCCCATCAGTTGCGGCGAAGTGGGAAGGTACCAGCAACGAAGGCCCCACGGCTGGCGTCCCGCCACTGGGAGAACTTGCCGTTTACTTCCACTCCTGCTCAGCAGCTGCTCGCTGAGGCGCTTCTTATTCTGTGACCAATGAGGCTGCTTGGTGGCGGACGTCCCCAAAAGCCCTCGGGCAGTCCAGGTAAGCGGTGTCTACTAAATCGTCCCCGGCACGCTCGGAAAGCTCCGCAGGATCCCTGAGGCAGGGCCTACCTCTGGAGACGCGGTGAGGGTGCCTTCGCAGCGGGGACCGTTCTTCTCTGAGCTCACTAATTTCATCTCCAATTCTGCTTTCACCCAATTTGCCCAGAATAGATGTCAAACTAAGCGGATCCCCTCAGATTCCACCTGAAGAACTGGTGTCATGTCGGCCATTCTCTGGTCCTCGGGACCAGAGGCTGATCTTACAGACATGGTACCCATGGTGTTCAAAGAGTCACCAAATTCATCCCCGAGTCCTTCAAGATCCTGCCTGGGCCGGGTGACTTGCTGACTTCCCGCTGGTCCAGGGGTTGAGAACTTGGTCCTCCCTCACCAGAGTTCGTCCCGGTTCTTCGGGCCCCCGAAAGCACCGATTCAGGAGTGGGGCCCCGCCAACCGTCCCCGGTGGCCGGTGGCCTCCTCCTCCTGGCGATGACAGAGCCCACGAGGCCCTCCCTCATGCCTCACCGCCTGCTTGCATTTCCTCTGGGCATGCTCGGGCGCCTTCCCCCACTTGTGCAGGACCCCCACCTTTGGCAGGGAGACCTTTTCCCGCCGTAGCTTCCTCGACGGCACTGTCAGCTGCCCAGGGACCCCTTGGGCTTCTGCTCCCGCCCTGCCCCTCTTTATACGCTTCCGCTGAGCATCTCCTGTCCTGGTTTCGAGCAGACCTCCAGTCCTCCCAAGGAAGTCATTCCACTGGACCGCGCCTCCTTGCCACCCGTCCCCTCATTTCGGAGAAAGTCCCTCTTCTGAAGAGAAAAGCGACCGCGCCGGCCATCCCTGGCAAACCCCCACGCCAATCCGTTCTGCAGCAGACCATGCTTCCACTGGGCTCCACAGTACGCGCCTCTCGAGCCCACCCAGGACCAAGCGCAGGGCTGCCGCCCCTCCGGCCGCTTCCACGCCCAGCTGCTGAGCACACGTGCAGGAGGACGCACTTGCTAACGGCCCGGAAAGGGGCGGGGTCGTCCAAAATGGTCCCGACGCTGCAGGACGCGGCCGCTGGCTCCCCGTCGCCGGGACGTGCCCTGCAAGACTCGCGGGGCCCTCCCCGCCGCCCCACAGGGCCCTCTGCAGCAGGGCTGCGGAGACGCTTGCGGGGGGTCCCGCCCTGCAGCCGGCTCCCTGGCTGCCGGGGGTGGGGGGCAGCAGGCGGTCCGGCCGCAACTCCGCGCAGGTGTGTTCCTCCCCTGCTCTCTGCCCCACTGTGCAGCCACGGGTGGGACGGGCAGCACCCAGCGTCTGCAGCTCCACCACACGAGGTGCCGACCCGTTCCGTGATGTGGCCAAGATGATGTTTAAACACTAGAGTTGGATACAACTAAATTTCAATGGCTTTGTCTTGCTTTTGGAGCACTCCATTAGTTATATTGCTTTTGCTCTTTTATTTTGGTTTTGGTTAATTTACTTATGATTTTACTGTTAATGATCCTTTATAATTGCACATTGCCGAGTCGTGTTTTGTACCATTTTATTCTGTCTGTGGATTTTAATCTGACGTAAGCCGCCCAGAAAGCCTGTCGCTAGCGGGGCAGCATTTAAACCGAATGAATAAATAAGTGAGCGAAGAAGCCAGGGGGCAGAGCACTTCTGGACCCCCGTTCACTGAGCTGAGAAGAGAAGGGGACGGCAAAATGAGGAAAGGGGACACAGGAGGAAGGCGCTCCGCTCCGCCGTGCCCGGAGTGGCCAGGGACTGCCTTCACTGCCCAAACCCCGCTAAGTAAATCTGAATTTGGCTCCTGGCAGGTGAGTGAAGTTGCAGTGCAAAGGGCTTCCCCCGTAGAAGCGCCCTAAGCATAACAGGAAATAAATGAAATAAACCGCATGGCTGCAGAGCAAGGAAGGTGGATGGAACGAATGCTCGGATGCATCCCTCACGGGGGCGGCCTCCCCTCCCCTCGCCTCGCACTTCTCACTCCAGCCAGGCGTGCTCGCCTCCGACGCCCCGCCGGCCTCCTTGGGCAAGGCGACCTGCCCTCCCTTCCCGCTGATGCCAGAGCGCAGGACGCGGAATGATCAGCCCAGGTTCAGGCTGGACATCAGGAAGAGCTTCCTCACTGCTGGAGCAAGATGCCAGTGGGACCAGCTGCCTGGGGAGGCGGGGGGCTCTCCCACACCAGAGGCATTCATTCTTGTTGTGAGCCGTCCCGAGGCTTTGTTGTGATGGGGGCGGCATAAAAATGTTTTAAATAAATAAATAAGGTGAAGCTGGGCAGCCACCTGAGTGGGATGGGGTAACTGGTGTCCTGCAACAGCAGGGGGTGGACTTGATGGCCTTCCTGGCCCCTCCCAGCTCTCCTGTTCTACAATTCCATGATCCCACAACTCATTTCTCCGACGTTGCGTTCACCTTGTCCCATCCTCCAGAAAGGAAGACTGCGCAAAATGGAGTGCATTGCCGTGCGTGTTACCTCTCCGGGTGCTCTCTGGAGAGGCACCCCCCACACCCCACGCAGTGCCTTTTAAAGTCATGTTCACAAATCCACGTGCACTTTGCACGCGCCCTAACGCAAGTGCTGTGTCGTGCCGGCAGCTCAGGCACGGAGTGACTCCCGCATGGAAACTGGGCGCAGAAGCCCCTGGCCGACCGCTCCGGCACGGACTCCCCCCCCCCCGCCTTCCCCAGAGCCACCCCTCGCGGGATGGCAGCATCCCCGGGGAGACTGGCCTCGGGGGCAGCCAGGGCGGGGAGATTCCTGGGGGCTGCGGCCCTGCCCCCCCCCCCGCAGCGCCTCCGAGCGAGCCCCTTCCCGCTTTCCAGAGACGGCAGCCCTTCCACCGGGACGCGCTTCGGCCTCCCCATCCGCTAATTATAGACAGTTGGTGAAGCGGAGGCGCTGCCCCTCCTCCCTCCCGTTAAGCGACACCTAATTAGCGGTGGCTGGTGCGCCATCCGTGCCAGGGCTGCCGCAGCGCCGCCCCGCGCGGGCTCGTTAACCTTTCGCTCGCCTGCCAGCAAGAGGCTCGGCAGGCTGGCGAGAGGGAGCGGCTCCCCGGCCGAGACCCCCGGGAAGGGAAGCCGCTCCGCTCGCCGGGACCGGATTCCGGCCGGGTGCTTGCCTACCGCCAAAGGGGTGGCGTGGGGGAGGGCGGGGGCGGAGAAGAGACGTGCTCTCCCTCCCTCCCTCTCTCCGGAGCAGGCCGCCTCTGGAGCCCGTCGCCTTACGCACGAGTAGCAGTCCAAACACCCTGCGCGCGTGTGGATGCGCTGCCTCCGAGGCGAGGAGGCTGCCGGTGCTCCCGCTGGTCTGAGCGCCGAGCAGAAAGGGAGCGGCCTCCCCAGCAGGCATCGTGCACCCCCGCTTGCCGCAGACACGTCCCCCACCAGGGTCCCCCCCACGCCGCCCCGCGGGAGGGCCTCACCATGCCCTGGGGTCTGGGCAGGGCACCTCAGCCCCGCTTCGTGCACGGCCTCCCCCCCCAGCAGCTCGACGCAACCGCCCCACACCTGCCTCCCCATGCCGTGCGCCACGTGCGCCAAGCGCCACTGCTCCCCCCAGCACACCGCAGGCTCACAAGCGCCCTCCTCCCCACAGGGCCACGTGCCCACCCTGGGCCGGCCACGGGGGCCGTCCTCACCCCCGCAGAGCAGAGCAGTGCCCAGGGCCACAGCCGGGCCCTAGCGCCCCCCACGCCCCGGGACCCCCCAGCCCTGCTCCACGCTCTTCCGGCGGTGGGCACGCAAGACTGGCTGGACTGGCCGCCCTCCGGCTCGCCCAGGCAAACATACGGGGGCCGAGCGATCAGAAGCCCCGGGCCCACCCCGCCCCTTCAGGCCCCGGGACCTGGTGCTGCCCCCCCGCGTGGCGGGAGGCGCCCCCTGGCCTCGGGCTCGGTGGCAAAGCGAGCGGCAGAGGCCGGGTGGGAGGCCGGCCGGCCCGACTGAGCTTCCAGCCTGCAGCGCAGCCTCCGTGCCTTCGCGCGCCAGAAGAGGCCTCCTTGCAAGAGCAACCTGGAGACTACGGAACGGCTCCCCGCACAGACACAGCACTCCTCGAATGCGCCCGTCGTGCGTGCCAGGAACCCCGTGTGCCCTTCGGTCAACTACAGCGACGCCCCAGCTGCGCCTGGCCTGCGATCGATCGCGCCCGGCCCCACAAGGGCTCCCGAGAAAAGGGCCGCGGGCCGCCTGCACCGACCGTCTGCAGGCAAAGGGGGCGTGTGCCCAGCGCTGCGTTCAAATGAGCTTTCCCATTTAATGCTAATTCCAGGCAGAACTTGACTGACGAGCTGAGCAAAACCAGTCCAGATAAGGGAACGGCCGAAGAAGCGCGAGTGACCGCGCTGCCATGGCAGGAAGGCGGTCCTCTGTGCGGCTGCAGCAGTGCCAGGAGCCACGACCGGACCGCGGCCACTCGCCCCCCTTCGAAGGGCGGCAGCCAACAGGCGAGAGGCAGCGAGGCGAGGGGCGCCCGCCATGCCCGGCCCTCCCTGGTGCTGGGAAGCACAAGGGTCCCACTGAACCGCGCGGGACCTCTGTTGGTGGCCCGGGAGCCCGCCAACCCTCGTCTTAGGGGGACGAGGCCGGAGCCCCAGGAGGCTCTCGTGGCCTCGGAGGAGCAGAGCGGCGCTGCCTCGCACGCGGGGGCACTGGGGCCTGCTGCCCCCACGCCAGTGGCCGGCGGGACGGGCGGGAAGATGCAGTACTGACCTCGGACATCTGCGGGAAGAGGCTGATGGCCAGGGGCAGGGCCAGGCCGAAGGCCGCGAGGCACACGACGCTCTGCACGGGGAGCACCATCCGGGGCCGCGACCGCAGCAGTGCCGTCCTGCAAGGAGGAGCAGTGGTGAGAGCCGGCAGCCGGACCCGCCCCCGCCAGCCCTGCTGGGGCTCTGTCCGCCGGGAAGGCGAGCGGGCCAGGCACGCGGCGGGTCCCCGTCAGGCTGCTGCCCAGCCTCCTCAAGGCAGACAAGCAGAAGCCCATCGGAGGGGGGCGGCAGGGGAAGCGTGGCGGCCGGGCTCCTGCTGGGGAGCGCCTGGGTCTGGGCCCCCCGAGCCAGCCTGGGGGCTCGAGCGGCTGCTGGCCCCTGCCCGTGTTCTCACCAGCCCCCAACCGGGCCTTCGGGCTGCCTCTAGGGGCCCCCCACTGCCCCCCCAGGCTGCTCCTTGTACCCAGAATGCCAGGCAGGCCCCGCGCCCCCCCCCCACCTGCCTCCTCTCCCGCCCGCCCGCGGTAGGTGGCTCAGCAAGGACAGCGCGGGGAGTGCCACCACTCCCATCCGCCCCCGCGCTGCCCCCAGCCCAGCTCACACCTTCCCCTCCCTGGTCGCTGGAGCGCCAGCGCTGTGGGCAGAGTCTGGCTGACGGTCAGGGAGTGGTGCCCCCCCCCGGCCATAGGGTCACCCCGGAGCTGGTGCGGGAGTCAGGCCAGACGCGAGGAAGCCCCTTCGCGGGGGAAGGTGGGCTGCACCTCTGCAAGCCGCAGCGTGGCCGCCGAGCGGGAAGGCCAGAAGCCGAGCCCCCCTTCCGCAGGGAGCCTGCCCCTCCTCAGGCAGGAGGCCCCGCACACCGCTGCCGGGGGCGCAAGCGAGTGCGGCCCCCGACTGCAGGAACTCGGCCGTGAACTAGAGGCTCGTGGCCTGCTCCAGCTTTGCCGGCTTCCCCGCGGCAGCCCCTGCCACCAGGTTTTTGGGATGGAGAGGCACGCTGAGGCCTCGGGCAGGCCAGGCGCCTGGGGGCTCCAGCGGGCTGCGCAGAGTGCGGCCGCTGCTGCAGGGACCCCTCGGGGCCGCCTCTGCCCGGCCACGCTGCAGCCGAGCTCGGCGCCCACTGGCCACTCGGCCCGGAGGCGAGCCGACCCAGAGCCCTGCCCCAGCAGCCCCGAACCTCCGGGGCTCGTCCGGGGCCTCCGTGCAGCAAGACGCAGATCCAGCGGAGCCTGCGCTGAGGAGCGCGCCCGCCGGGGCTGCCTGGAAGCCACGCTGGCGCTGTCACACGCCCCCCTGCCCCCCCTCGGAGGCTGCACCCTCTTAATGACGGCCCCGCTGGGCTCTCACAATCACCACAAGGGAACGAGACCAATTTAGCGTGTTCACTGGTGCGGCTCCCAGGTGCGACTTCCGCCATGGGTGTTTTAAACTCAGACCAGTTCAAATTACAATGGATATAGCCTCCTAATTAAGAGAAGTTATGGCCTGATTTAAAGAAAAAGCCTTAATTAACACATGAAGTGCAATGTCTTAATTGGGACTCAGATCCTAGCATTTGCAAAGTTCAGCCTAAAGGACTCACAATTAGCCGCAAGGGCCGCTCGCTCCTCTCGTCAGATCTTTGCTCTCCAAATCACAGCAAGCCAAAAAGTGCCACCGAGCAAAGGGAGCGGTCCCGGGGGGCGCCCCCCTCCCCTTGTTTTCTCCGGCATGCGGAGCTAAAAGGCGTTTCTTTGTGAACAGACTTCATTGTTTTGAGCTCAAGAAAAGCCGGGCAGCCTGAACGCAAACCGCGGGTCGGGATCCCACCGTTTGATGGAAACACAATCGCAGCCGACTCGCCGCAGGCCAGCAGAAACGACAAATGAACCGGGAACGGCCCCTTCCCCGGCGCGACCCCGACGGAGACAGCGGCGTCTCCGTGCAGCCGGGCAAGAGCGCCCCCTCGCCGCCAGGGCCTGTACGGCGGCTCCATGGGGCAGGTGGACCACGAAGGCCCGACCCGGGCCACTAACGCAGAGGGGCAGCGGCACCAGCAAGGAGTTGACATCACCCGCGGGCGCCTCCCCTCCCCTGCCCTGCCCTGCGGGGCGTCACAGTCAGGCAGAGCTCAGCAAGGGACCAGGCCGTCAGCAGGATATTTTTGCTGCAGCCCAGAGGGGCCGGCCAGCAGTGGGGAGCGCAGAGTTGGGACGCTGCTTGGGCTTGGGAAAAGACACCCTGGGGAGTGGCGGAGGACGGAAGAAGCCGGGCAGAGCCCTGGCAGGTGCGCCTTGCAGGTGTCCTCCAAGGACCCGCCCAAGGCTGAACTCCTGGGAGACCGTGACGGCTCGGAGTGGCCCCCGGACGTGGCTCTTCCGGACACCCACTCCAGCCAGACCCTTTCCATAAGGCGTCCAACTTGAGTGCCACCACCCTGCCTCACCCACGTGGTCGGGACCCTCCTGGATTTCCCCGCTGCTTCTCCTGCCTTTTCTCCTATGGCCAACAGTCCATTCGAGAGGAAAGACGGAAGAGCTGCAAGGTGCCCGTATCCCTCGACCCCCCCCCATTTGAAAACACCCAGGAAAACTAGCCCATGGAGACAAAGGGCCAGAGCGCCGAAGGTCGTGAGGACGGCCGCCCTCTTTGCGCGACTTCCCCAGTCGACCTGGCAGCGGTGGTGCCCACAAGGGGCCGGCACAGCACGGGGGGGGGGGGGCTCCAGCAGCTTGCGGGCACCATGGGCCAGCTCCGCTGCAGGGACATTCCTGTGTGCGGCCGCTGCTGCACGAGCCCCAAATGGTCCGGGACCTGGGACCCGGGACCCAGTGCCAGGCCAGGAAGAGGAACGCCGGAAGCCCCGATGGCAGGGAGTCGGCAGGCGAGCTGTGGAGCTGGCCCCTTCTTGGCCACGGCGCCAATTCGGGCCAGGCTTCCCCTCGGGGGGGGGGAGCTCCCCCCCAGGGCTTTCCCTTCCCCTTGCCGTCCCCCCGAAGGGCAGCAAAAGACCCACTTCGGCCTGGGGACAGCGGGCTCTGCATTGAGCCCGTCTCTCCTGTTCACTTTAAGCACGATCTTCAGTCCGGCACTCGCGGAGGAAGGGAGGCCTAGAAGCCTTTTTGGTGGGATCTTTGCTGCCTGAGCACTCTGGACTGCGACGCAGAGGAACTCTGGAGTGTCTGGCTGGCACCATGCGTGGGCGGGGAAGCAGGATAAACACATTAGCGCTGAGGAGATAAACGCACCTTCTTGGGACCGAGCAAAATCCGAAATGCGAGGCAGTGGGGGCATCGCGGTGCGGCTGCCTCAGTGTCCGCCCAGGCCCCCGCCTCTGCCGTGGAGGCTGCTGCGGCACGGCGGGGGTGACCGGCCGGCCCTCCCTTTGCAGCCACTTCCTCCATTTACACTGCTCGGCTTGCACCCGGATCCGCACTGGCGCCGTGCTGCGCTGCGCGGCTCTGCACACCAGGAGAGCGTGAAGCAGCGCTTCCCCACGTGGACCGCCACCCGGCCACGCGCCACCAGCGCCTTCTCCTGGCAGGCCGTGGGCCTTCTCTTGCGCTGCCCCACTGCAGCTCCGGGTGGAGAGAGGCCGGGCTGGCCAGGTAACTCTGAAGCTGCTGTGCATGATGCGCACACCCAGAGAGGAAGACCCCGGCCTCCGCTCGTTCACAAACATGGCACACACACACAAGGCGAGGTAGACGGCGCACCTGCTGTGCAGACACCGCGTGTCACGGAGCCTGCAAATACACCTTCATTCAACTCTCAGCACATTGTTGATTAGTGGTTCAAATTTTGCATAATGTGGCAGCTGCTGCCACATTCTCAGGAGGTTCTGCAAAGTCTTCCATATGGAAGTTGCTCTCAGAACTCCAAAAGAGTTATCGGGTTTTGTGCTCCAGAACAGCGTTTGCCTCGAGAAGGTGTGAGATGCTAAACTAAATATGACAGGAGCTAACCGGAGCCTCCTAAACTGACAGATCCAGGGCGGGGTGGGAGAGTGTCATGTTTATATTAAACAGAGCTGCCACTGATGCTTCTAACCCATGTCAGTGGGAGGATAAAAGGGGTGCAAAAGATGGGAGCAGAAAGGAGTGGGGGGCCCATTCAGGGCCCTTCTAACCGGGAACCGCATGGCCCCTGTCACGGGTTGTGTTGCGCCACCGCAGAGTGTGCGCTCGGCACACAACTCAGTGCACAGAAGCAGCACAGTGACCTAAACTGCAGGGAAAAGGCTGGGCACCCCCCCCCCAAGCCATATGGGACTCAACTCGGAGAGATCCTGTGGAAATTCGTCTTGGGCAAACGGTCCACAGGCAACACACGAGCATTCCCTCATTCCCCAGTTCTTCCACAGCTGCGTTCCCCAGATGGAAGCCTTCCAAGCCCGCCTCCCCACCTCAGCCCCACCGGCTCGCTCCTTCGGGCTCTTTGCCAGCACGTTTCTTCAGTCCCCGGGGCAGCCCCCTTCCGCGAAATAAGCATTAGAAGGAGAAGAGCGAGGAGCGCCCAGAAAAACCTTCCGCACGTGCGGATGAGCATGGGGGCCGCAGCCAGGGAGCACGCGTGGCCGACCCGCCCCGAGCAAAGGGGGGGGGCCCGCCACATGCGCCATCAGCTGGCCCGGGCAGCACGGGGCTGGGGAGCGGTGGGCGGGATCAGGCGCTGGAGGGCCCGCACGGCCTGCCCCTTCCGCTGGGGCCTGCGCCAAGCCCTGGCTGGCTCGGAGCTGGCGCTGCCAGGCGCCCGCATCAAGGCAGCTGCTCAAAATAGCTGCCACTCGGCTGGCTGGACGATCCCACCAAGGGTCCTACCAGCAGGGGGGCCCCAAGCCCGGGGGAGAGAAGCCCCCAGTGGGAGGGGGGGCAGGGAAGGCGTGCCAGAGCCGGAGCGCTCGGCAGGAGGGGAGAGTGGGAAAGCGCAGGAGAGGCAGGGCGGCGAGGCGGCGGGAGCGCGCCGGCGGAGAGTGGCGAGGCAGGGCTGACGCGAGCAGGGCCTGGATCCCAGCAGAAGTGCGAGCGATCCACAGGACTCGCCGGACCCCCGGGGCCTGGGGGAGCCGTGCCGCTCTCCCTCGGCGGGGCCCCGGGCACCGGATCCAGGCCTCTCACAGCTGGCCCCACGGAGGCCCGCACCGCCGCTCCTGCCGGGCTACACGTCCCCAGCCCCCAAACGCCCGGGGACGCTGGCAGGCGCTCTGGCCCGGGCCCGGGAGGCGCAAGAGCGCCACGGCCCAGCCGAGAGCGCCTCCCGCCCCCGCGTGGCACGTTCTGGCACGGAGGCCGTGCGAGGAGGCCCGGCTCCTCCTCCCGCAGGCTGCCGACTGGCTCTTTGTTTCAAACTTCTGCCAGTCAGCTAATTAGGGAAATGTAATTAAAACACATTTGAAACGAGAGGGCTCGGCAATTATCTTTTCTTCAGGCTTTCCGCAGAGGTTCGAACTGCACAGCCTGTTGTGCTCCCGTCAGTCGGGAGAAGGGAACACGATGTTTCTGCACGGCCCACGGCCCAACGTCCGGCACCAGCCGCCCCACACCGCCCCAGGCTGGCTGCCGGGCGGTGCCGCTGCGGGACGGCTGGGCCCGGGGGAGGCCGTGCAGGGGCGAGGGGGTCCCGAGGCAGATGCGCGACGGGCTGCCTCCGCTGGAATCGGGGGCATGCAACAGCCCCCCGCTGCCCAGGCAACGCCCAGCATGCGGAAAGGCGCGAAGCGACCGGATGCTGGGTGGCCCAGAGCCTGGCAGGAGGGGGCTGATCCCAAGGGGCCCCCACCCCAGGAGATGGGCTGGCCCCAGCAGCGCCGCCCGCCCCTTGCGCGGCTGCGCAGCTCTGCACCGCAGTTCCCTGTATGCATGGCTGCGGCCACGCTCTGCCAGCCCGGGCAGCTTGCCCGGGCAGGCGGAGGCTTCCCCCCGGCTCCCTTTGCTCTCGCCAGCCCGCCGAAAGGGCCCTCTCCGCATCTCGTGCCTGCAACCAACTGGGAAAGCCAGGCCAAGGCGAGGTGCAGCGAGCGCAGGGGGAGGGTCGGGGCCAGAGCGTGCCGGTGGGAGGGGCCCTCGGACAGGGAGGGGGTCTGGGGAGGGCATCTCTGCAGGGGTGTCGAGGTCTGGCTGCTTCCAGGGCCACGGGCAAGCCCCCCGTGCTCCAGCAGCACCAGCCGGCCCACCCGGGAAGGGCGGCCTGTGGGGGCCACGTCCACCCCGCCCGCCGGCTTGTCGCTTCTGGATCCCCGGCCGCGCAAGGGGCCCCGAAGGCAGAGGCCGGGGGTGCTCGGGTCCCTGCAGCTTCCTGGGTTCCCCCGGCCCCAACCGTGCCGGCCAGCCCACGCCCGCCCCTCCGCCCGCAGGGGCCATTACGGGGGGGGGGGGGGGCCTCGCGCAACCGCCCGCCCACACTTACTTCTCCAGGAGAGACATGATGATGGGGGGCAGCACCAGGATGGGCATCGGCAGCACCACGCGCGTCAGCGCCGTCTCGAGCAGCGCCTGCGGGGGAAGCGGGGGGCAGTTTCACGCCAACTGCCCGTGGCCGGCCAACAGGTCGCGCTGCTGCCTCTCGGGCCCGGGGCAAATGCTTCTGCGGAGGGCTCCTTCGCAGGGTGCCCGAACTCCACGGCAACGTGGGGGGGGTGTTTCTCCGGGATGATCCCGCTGGCAGCTGCGCCTGGGAAGGGGCTGGCCAGGCCCGGACGGGCCGCGGGCACCGCGAGCGCCACACGCAGGCTCTTGCCGCGTGCCAGAAGGCCGTTCTCGAAGGGCTGCCGAGCCAGGCTGCCGAGCGCTGCCCCCCTCGCCTGGCACCGGGGCCACATCACGGCGGGCGAGCCCGGGGACGGGCGGCAGAGCACGCTGGGACACTCGTGCCCGGGGACGTCCCATGAATGCAGGGCTGGCAGAGTGGATCCCCGGCCAGCCACCAGAAACGCCACCCCGGGGAGGGCAGGAGGGCCTGCTCCCCCTCAGGCACGGGCATGCGCTCCCTTCGCTGCGGCTTGCCAGGTGCCCCCGCCGGCTCAGAACCGCACAGCAACCTGCTCGCGGCTGCTGGGCACAGACACACAACCCCACCCCGCCCCGTCCCGCACCACACATACATGTCTGGCTGCCACCCGGGACGATCCCACGACGTTCCCGTCCTTGTCCAGGACGTCGATCCCCTCCTCCAGTTCCGTGTGCCGCATCAGGACGACGTTGCAAATATTGGCGCTCGCTGTGAAGGGGAGGACATGGCTGCTGCCAGGAAGGCCCGGCCTGCTTTGGCCCCGAACTCACCGTGCGTTCCGCCTCAAACACGCTGGCCGCGCGAGCCCCTGGCCCCAGCCCTGCTGCCTGCCTAGAGCCGGCTCCGGAAGCATCCACGCTGCTCAGCCCCAGCCCCAGCCCCAGCTCCAGCAGAGGCAGCGCTGGCCAGGGGCCGGCTCTTGAGGGCCCCTTTCCTCCAGGGAAAGACGCCTGCGAAACCGCTTGCACAGACCGGGATGCTGGGGAGAGCAATCCTCCGGGAACCCAGAGAGCCGCCTCACCTCCCTGGGCCCGCCCTTCCCACACGGCAGCCCCTGCGGACGCCACGCTTGTCCCTTCGAGGGGAGTGCCGCACGGGAGCGGGTCGGGGTCCCTGACGCAGGCGCCTGTTCCCCGGGGACCCCCCACCCTCAGAGGAGACCCTGTGCCAGAGGGCGGGCGGCACCAGCCCTGCGGCTCCCATAAGGCTCCCCAGCCTCGCCTCGGCCGGCCCGGCCAGTGGCGATCCGGGCAATCGGGGGGTTACATTGCAAATGAACAGCCTGCCCGGGGCTCTGAGGCTGGGGCGGGGGCGCCCCAGAAGGACCAGGCAGCCAAGAGCAGGAGGAGGGCCAGGGCCCCGGCACTTAAGCACAAGTGGCAGAGCCAGAGCATTAACTGGAGGCCGAACAAATCGATGACCGGCCCTCTGCTCAGCCTCCACTCTTGACACCTCGGCACAGCCGTGGAGCGACCCGAGAGCGAGCCCCCAGCCCCCAGCCCCCACCCCCGAGTGCGGGTGGCCAGGCCCTGCGGGCCCCACCGGCTTGGGGCCGTTCTCAGGGAAGGCGCAAAGCACGCCCCGCCGTGGAGGGAGCGTGGCCACGGCAGTGGGGAGGGCCCTGCACAGAGACCGGGGGCCGCATTCTGCCCTCCCCCTGCTCCACGGCCCAGGCGTCCTGCCATGTTCGGCGGGTCCTGACAGGGAGCGGCGGCCGCCCCCCCAGCAGAGCACGCGCGGTGCATGCCTTGGGACCGTCTGGCCAGGCGTGGGGCACCAAGGGCCGGGTCAAGCCCGGGGGGGCTGGCAGGGGGCGGCGCAGAGTCCCGCGCTGCAAGGCCCTGTGGCCGTGGGGCTGCGGGGCTTGTCCTTGGGGCCGCCCTGCGGGCGACGCATGGCGGGGGAGCACTTGGGCTCGCCCTCGGGACCGGCCCTGCCGTGTCCCCGCGAGGGCTGGGGAGGCCAGGGGGAAGCCCGCTGGGGGCGGCAGCGCGGCCCAGGTGGGGCCGGCTCCGGAGCAGGCAGCCTCCTCGCGGTCGAACCCTCACGTCAAAAGTGAACATCTGAGTGGGTGCAAAAGGGAAGGGGCTTTTCAGGAAACGCGCACCCCCCCCCCCGGCCAGCAACACTCCCAGGCCCGTGCGCATGCCCCGGGCAGCCCCTATTCCATACCGCCCGTGCCCCCACATGGTGGTGCCTGCCTGGAGAGGCCGTCAGTGGGACGTTGCGCTCGGACAGAAGCCGGGGCGAGGCCCACGCGCCGCCCAGCAGGGTCCCCGACTGCCCCGGCAGCACCAGCCCACGCCGGAGCCCCGGGCGAAGCCGCGCTCGCTCACCTACGGCGGGGAACGGCACGAATCTCTGGATCAGGAGCCGGGTGGCCGGGGTGAACTTGCTGGCCCTCTGGATGAGGACGTTAAGGCCCACCTGCAGCGGGAGAGTGGGGAGGGGAGTCTCAGCGACGCCGGGCAGAGTGACCCCCCCTCTCGCTGCCCCTCTGTGGTGAGGGGCCGCGCCAGTGCCCAGCCACGCCGGGGGCCACGCTCATCAGCCTGGAAGGCGGGGCCCCCAGCGCCTCACGCCCAGCCCGCTGGCCCCTCGGCCCCCCACACCCGAGCCGTGAGCACCGACGGGGCAGCGTCCCCAGCACCACCCCCCGAGGCGAGTCCGGAAGCGCAGACGGGTGCGCGGAGGCAGCAGCCCAGCCCGCTCGGGCCGACTCCTGGGGAGCACCAGGGCGGCAAGGGCTCGCCGCATCCCGGCAGGGAAGAGCAGGCCATGCTGCGAAGGAAGAGCAGGCCATGCTGCGCCCAGGAGGGGCAGAGGTGGCTCCTTCGGCTCCCCCACGGACCCAAAAGCGCTGCAGCGTCTGCCCGGCTCCGGCAGAGGGGGGACCTTTCTCCGAGGCACCAAGCAAAGCAGCCACCGGCATCTCCTCTGCCTTTAAAGACACCTTCTCCCCAGACATGGGGACAAAGCCGACGAGGGCATTCGCCCCCGCTCATGGCGGCTCCTCTTCTAGCACCCACAGAAGTTGCCACACAGAGCGCAAATGGGGCGTGCCCCCCCGTGCAGGGGGAGCATGCTCGGTGGCTGCTGGGGGGGTCGTGGACCCATTCAGTGGCTCCTCTGAGCTCGGACGAAGCCCTAGGCTGGCTCTCAGACCCCTGCTGGGCGGGCCAGGCCCATCTCCACGCGGCCTGGCCTGTGGCAGGGCCCGGTTTCTCCCTAAAGTGCCTTCACTGCTCCACGCGGCTGCTTTTGCTCCAGCTCTGTCACGTTGTGGGTGTTGCGACGGACTCTAAGCTGCCTTGGGGGCCTGAAAGGCCGGATGACTCTGTTTTGAATAAAACAGCAGTGCATCCATCAGTGACCCCCTTCTGTCATTTTCCACAAATCCCCTGAGCATCTTGCCAGTTATTTTATTTATATCCTGCCTATCTGCCTGCCCCTCACATGACACTGGAGGTGGTTAACGATAAAGAACAAATTAGAAACAGGACCTTAATTAAAAGATAGTATCAAAAATAGATGAAAAACTCAATTAAAACCACACGCGGGACAGAAACCAGCGGCAGCAGCTGACTGAAAGCCCCTCCGGCCACAAGCCAGGCTCGCTGGGAGAGGCCCTCACCTGCTGGCGGGAAGATGAGGGAGGGCCTCCTGCGGCAGGGAGCCCCAGAGCCTGGGAGCCACCACCGAGGAGGCCTCCCCGCGCTCCCCCACCCACGAGCCTCTACCGTGCCGGGACCAGGAGAGCACCGGACTGCTGCAGCCGGTCCAGGGCCTCGGCCCCAGGACCTGTGCGGCCGGCAGCTGCCCTGCACACGCCCCTCTCAGGAAGAGCACTTTTGCCGGGAACACAAAAGAACCCAGGAAATCCAGCCACAGGCAAACTCAGAGGAGGCCAGGCTGCCCGCCACGCCTGCTCAAGAAGCCGCGTGTCCGCAGCGGCCCTCGAAGGCCCGGCCCACCCCTGGCCAGGCCTGAGCACAGACCGTCGTGACCCGCCGAGCCGAACCGCCTGAACATGCAGTACGGGGCTTGCGGCGGCCCTTAAAAGACTAGCAGGCGCACCAAGTTGTCCGTGGTGCAGCAGGGGCGAAGGCTCAGGGCCCCTGAGCTGGGGGGGCGTCCCCAAAGGACCACCAAGAAAGCAGCAGCTACGGGAGCAAAGTCCTCCTCCGAAGACTGGAGTGCCATGAGAAGAAAAACCTCGGGATTGGGCCCCAGCTCCTTTCGGAGTCAGACCAACCCACCCCGCGAGGTCCCTCGTCGGCAGGTGCGGCTCTGTGGCCAGCAGAGGCTGGTGCCCGACAAGCCTTTTGTGGAGCGTGTGAGGCGGAAGAAGAGCTGCTCCGTCGCCACGGGTGGGGGTGTCTCTGCTGGGGGCAGCGCCAGCGGGCAGCTCCTGGGCCCATCAAGGCCCACCCGGAAGAGACGGCGAGTTCTCCCCGTCCGTGAATTTGGGCTACCTTCTAGTTCCACGCCCCGCCACGTGGGCAGCGAACGCCTTGCCTGCAAAATGCTCCGGGCAAAGAAGAAGGCCCACGGAGGTCCCTCTGGGGCACGGGTACTCCGCTCCCCCCACCAACAGTTTGCATGGGGGGGCTTGTTTTAATGAACCCCACGACTTGTGCTGACCACAGCAGGGCAGTTTCTGGCACTCGCTTCCAGGACACCCGGTCCGATCGGGCTCCCCCAGGAGGCGACTTGCCGCTGACAGCCAAGCGCACTGGATGAGGCCAGGACCTCCGAGCCACGTATGAAGCGCTCGGCAGCCCACCGGCCTCCCTCTGGGGAGCTCAGTTCCACCCGCCCCACTGAGGCCGGGTGCCCAAGGGGCAGAGCGCCGCAGAGGGGCTTCCTCCCGTGCGGGCAAGGTGGCTGTGCTGGGTGCCGGGCGTGCCTGCCAGAGGCGACCCCAAGGCCCGGTGTGCCGCCCAGGGCCGGCTGGGGGGCAGCGCAAGCCAACGGCTCGCCCAGCAGCTGGGACGCGGAGCAGCCCGGAGAGCGTGGGAGGCGAGGGGGACAAGTGTTACGCACTGCGATGGAGACGGCGCTGATGACGGCCCCCAGGTAGCCCTGGACGAACTTGGACGCCGGGGACGGCTGCAGGGGGAGACAAAGAGGGCCGCGCGTCAGCCCCGAGCGTGGGCTTTGGCGAGCAGGGCATCCGGGGTGCTCCGGAGGCTGGCACGGGCTGGGGGGCCCACCAGCCACCGCCGGGGAGGCAGGGAACCCCTCAGGAACACGGCTCTGCCGCACCCCCGGCCCCGGAAGCAGAGCCGGCACCAGGGACCCGGCAGGGCGCTTGGCTGTGGTCCGGCCCTGTGGAGACCGACACACCGAGGGGCCCGGCACTGGTCTCCACGGAGCGGGGCAGGAATTCCCACCCCTTGGAGGCAGATGGGAGGAGCGGGCAGCCCGCCAGCAAGGACGGAGCAAGCAGCCCCGGCCCGGCCCCTCTGAGGCTGCACCCACCCTGCACGGGGGCCCCTGGGAGAGGCCAGCGAACACCTGGTCCGGCATCGCCCACCCCAACCAACAGAGGGGCTCCAGGTACCCCCGGGAGGGGGACACTCTCCAGACCCGCCCCCATGGCCCTTCCACGCATGAGGGCAGGAATGGGGCCTGCGGTGTGCAAAGCGCACTCAACGCCCGCTGGAGTGGGATGGGGCAAAGGGGGGTCCTGCAGCAGCGGGGTGGACCCGCCGGCCTCCTGGCCCTGCAGGTCTGCCGCTCCCGGACTCTGAGGGTGCGCCCGGTCCTCCCGCAGCAGAGGAGGTGGCAGGCCGGAGCCCAGGCGGCCGGAGAGGTGAGCGGCCGGCTGGGCTCCCTGGCTGCTCCCCAGGCCGCGGCAGGGCGCGCCCAGGACCGCCGGACAGGGCAGCCTCCCCTGCGCCACCACGGGCGCCCGCGGCACCGCCCCCCGGGCCACGAACGCCCCTCACCTTGGTGGCGTTGCGGTTGGCGTAGTTGACACAGGCGTTGTGGCTCTGGTTCATCCACTGGGGGCGAGACAGAAAGAGAGGGCAGAGCACGGGTTAGGCGGCGGGGGCGCGGGGGACCGAGCGAGTGAGCCGGCCGGCCACGGCACCTCAGAGGCTGCAGCAAGACGGAGGCAGAGAGGAAGAAAGGGGCGAGACAGAGGCGAGCGTGCGGGGGAGCGGCCACGCCTTCGCGGTGCCTCCCGGGGAGTGAGGGCTCCGCACCGCATCCGAGCAGCGTCGAGACGGGCCGCCCGGGCGTGCGTGGCAGAGACGCCGCCGTTCTCTCCTCCCGGCCTCACGCACAGGGCCGCCCGGAGCCCTCTTGCCCTCTCCTGCGGGCTTCCCCGCCCCCCTCCAGCCTGCCTCTCCTACCCGGCCCCTGGTGGACCCGGGTGCCTGCAGGGCTGCCCCTGCCCGGGGCCTCACACGCCCTGGCTAGGGGCAGGGGCAGCCACTCTGCCTGCAGAAACAGGAAGACCCGCCAGGGAGGGGCCTCAGCCTTGGCCCCTGCCCTGCCCTGCCTGGGCTCCTGCTGCTCCCGGGCCGGGGTGTTGCTCCGGCCAGCAGCCGGGCACCTGCATGGCCCTGCTGCGGAGCAGCTCCTTGGCCGGCCGCAGGCGGGGGCCGCTGACCCAGGCCCAGTCGCCCCGGCCTTCTCCTGACCCGCCTTCGCTGCAGGGCTGCCCGGGAGGTGCCGAGACAGCTGGAGGCCTCTGAGCCACTCCTCCGCGGGGAGCCGGCCTGGCCTGGCCTGCCCGTCACGTCAGGGCTGCCCTCGCCTCCACAAGCTGTGCTGCACTGTGTCTGCCGGCGGGACGCTGTCTGGTTCAGCCCGGCCCCATCGGAGCCCGCGAGGGAAATCCCTCCTGCAGAGGCGCTCCGTGCCACAGCCGCCCCGGCTCTGCAAAGCTCCTCGAAACCCGCCGAAATTGCTGAATGCGTCCAACGCCATTCTTCATACTATATTGTTATTTTTGCCTCTGTAAGCCGTCCTGAGGCTGCTACAAAGGACGGCATATAAATGTTTCAATTAAATTAAATTGATCTTCTGCAGGGGTCCCCCTGCCCTGCCCTGCCCTGCCCTGCCCTGCCCTGCCGAACTGGTGTCTCGAGTTTGACAAGGACCTGATGAGGGTCAATGAACTGAAAGGCCGTTGGCTGGTGAGCCGACTGGCAGAGCCGAGGACCCCTGCCCGGCCTGGATGAGGGTGCCCCCCGCCCCCCCCCAGCGGACGTGGCCACAGCTCGGGAGTGCTCCAGGACCCAAAGGGTTCGCTGGAGTCTCGGGGGGCAGGAGGGCTCGGTGGCCAGGAGTGCCTCTTTCCAGCGCCAGCGAATACGACAGCGTAGCACCGCCCGCACCGGCAGCATCCCAGCCAGGTGACTGCAACGCGCTGGGCGTGGGGCTGCCTAGGAAGACGGTTCAGAGCCGGCCCAAAGGAGGGCTGCGCACCCGGTGCCCAGGATCAGCTCGACAGCTCATCTAACGCTACTCTGTACAAACCACGCTGCTTGCCGGCTGAAGCCTTGGCCCAGTTTCAAGTCCTTGCTTCAACATACGAAGCCCTAAACTGCTCGGGACCTGGCCGCTCGAAGGAGCCCCTCTTCCATATATTCCTGCCCACCCACCCACCACGCACCGAGGTCTGAGAGAGCCTCCCTGACAGAAGGGGAAGGGCCGTCCTGGTGGCTGCCCCCCACCTTTGGAATGGGCTTCCTAGACAGGCCTGCCTGGCGCCATCACTGCTTCCATTTCGGCACCGAGCAAAACCTGTCCTCCTCCACGGGTACTTTGAGGCCCGGCCGTCCCAATCCACGCCGCTGCCAGCAGGTTCGCTTCCCGTCCTCGCCTGCCCCACTCCCCGTAACTCGGGATTGTGATTTAGAGCTGCATCGGGCTGTGGCCGGCGGCTCAGCGCCCCACCGGGCCCTGCGCTGGCCTGGACCCTCAGAGCGGCTTCCCAGCCAGGTGGCGCTGGGCAGCCCCGCCAGCCCCCCGTCTCCCTGCGCTGGCCCTTGCGGGCCCCTGGGAGATGCTCCACGGCCGCTGCCTGCGGGGAGGGGACCGGGCAGGCCCCGGGAGGGGGCGAGGAGGGCCGGGCCCCCGAGGGGCGCAGGCCCAGCAGGCTCCTGCCGGCCCGCGGGCGCCGCTCTGGTGGCGCTTACCTCCGTTGGGGCCCTGACATGAGCGGGACGCAACCTGCCCCCTCCCAACTGGCGCCGCGGGGCGGGCGGCTCTGCTCCTCTCCCGCTGCTGGGCAGGACCTGGGAAACGAGGCTGAGAGGAGAGAAGAGGGGAAGAAACAGAGAGGAGTCAGCGAAGAGGGGGACCCGCGGGGGGAGCAGCGGGGGGAGAGGAGAGGCGGGAGAGGAGAAGAAGCGGAAGGAGGGCAGTGGGGGGCAGGCGGAAGACCAAAGCAGGGAAGCGGGGGAGCAGAGGCCTCTGTCCTGCCATGTGCGCCAGGCGTTTCGTCGGCCGCTGAAAGACACGCGCAAACGCGAGGATCGTGGCTCCGCTCCCAGCCCCCCGCAGACGCAGACGGCCGCACCTGGGCCGAGCACCCGCCGCATGGGGCGAGGCGGCGCCTGCGGTCTCGAGGGCGGGGGCGGCGTGATGAGCCGGGCCCCTTCGGGGCGAGTGGGGCGCGCCATCCCTGCTCCCCCCATACCGGCGGGCATCTCGCTACAGCCGCCGGGACACGGTCCCGAGGACCACGGGGGGCCTCGGGCAGCGCTCCGCCCAGGCCTGCGCAGGCACGTGGGGCATGGATCCTGGGTGCCCCGCAGGGCGCACGCGGTAGGGGCCCCGCGAGGCCCTTGGGCCGGGCAGCCTCAGGACCGAGCGTCCAGCGGGGCCACGCCTGGTGAGCGGCCACGTTCGACGCCCCCGGCCGGAGCCGCAGAAGGCAGGCGCAAGAGGCCCGGGCTGCTCAGGAAGGGCTGGGCAGGAGGGCCCGATCCTGGCCAGCTGTCACGCAGCCACCAAGTGCGGGCGCGCTCCCGCCAGGAGCGTCTGGTCCTCCGCAGAAGCAGCAGGCATCGCTCCGGGCCCCGTCCTCCCGGGCAGGCCCAGTCGGAGGCGATGTGGTGCGCAGCCCGAGCGCCGCACGACGGCCGTACCTGCCAGAAGACCGTGGACGCCAGCGTCTGGTTGGGCAGGAGGAGACCCACGACCTGCAAGGCAAAACGGGGGGCTCAGCGCACGGAGCGGAGGTGCCCGAGGCGCCGCGGGGGTGCACACTTGGGCATGCGCTGCGGGAGCCCGAGACGCAGGCAGCCTGGTGGATCCATGGCAACGAAACGGAGGAAGGCGAGCCGCCCCAAAATAGTTCGCGGGAGCAGGAGCAGCATCCCGTTGCTGGGAAATCTCGTTTCATGCCAGGGACCGCGCAGGCCGGGCTGCATCGGCAGAGCCGGGAAGAGAGCAGTCCGGGGAGGGGAGCGCAGGTGACGCCGCTCGCACGAGGGGCTGCGCAGCCTCCCTGAGACCCCCCCCACCCCGTGTGATGAGTCCGCCAGAGGACCAGGCGAGGAACCTGAGTCAATATGGGAAAGCAGGGGGAAAGCTGCTCGCCTGCGCCTCGGGCCTTGCGGACGCGATCGGGATTTCTCTGGGAGGAAGCTGCACGCCCTGCCCTGCCTCCGGCTTGCTGGGGGCCTGGGGCCGGAGCGAGCCGGGAGAGAGCTCCCGCCGAGGGCTCCTGCGCCCCCCATCCTCCTCTGCCCCCGCCTGAGTCGCTGGGGAGCCCTGGGGCACCAGGACCACCGTCTCACGGAGAAAGCGAGCCCACCGGAGCTCGGGGGCAGGCAGGCCCAAAAAGATGCCTGAGCCCCATGTATTGTTGCTTTTATATCCTGCCAACAGCCCCTTGGGGCTCCCAGAACGGTTTACAAGAAAGCAGCATTAAAATAGTTGCTCGCAATTACATCACGTCACAATTACAACAATAAAAATAAAATAAACATAATTACAGGGGGCTGTTTAAAGAGCTCTCTAAAAATCTCTGTCACCAACCCACCCACCTCTTGTCCTCATTAACAGTGACCAGGTTGCTTGACACAATAAACTTAAACATAAATAATTAAATTAATTCAAATGATTAAATTCCTAAATACTACAGGAAGAAAATTAAATTAAACACATAACCCAAAATCAATAAAAATAACAAAATACCTAATCATAAAGTAATTATTCCATGGCGGTCACCATATTCTACAACAGAAAAGCGGAACGTTCTGGCCATTCAGCCATGGAGGAAATAAAGGGGCCGCGGCCGGGAGCCATTCCGGGGCACACGACGGAGGAAGCCCTCCCGGGGCGGCCGTCCTCTGGACCTCCCGGAGGGACGGCCCCCGAAGGAGGGCCCCACCATCAACCGCAGCCCTTTGCTGCCGGCCACCAGAGAGCAAGCCCCAGGCCAGGGGCGTGAGTGTGCACTCCCGGCGGGCACATGGGAAGGGCCACAGGAGAGGCACAGCAGGGCCAACCCACGTGGGGACAGGCCGTCCGCAGGCCCACGCGGCCCTGGGACAAGGGCTTTCGGCTCAAGCTGGCTCTGCAGACTGAGCCTGGGCAACCCCGCCAGGCGGTGCCGGTGGGGGGGCAGCAGCCGTTGGCCCCACATACGCCTCCCCAGGTGAGGGCTGGCCTTGGCACGAGCCGCATGCCTCCCCCGGCTCCCTAGGAGAGAAGCTGCGAAGGGGGCCCATCCCCCAGAGGGGCTCAAACCTTCCCCCTTCCCTCCCGCTTCCTGTGCACGATGGTCTGCATCCGCACAGCGGCCGGGGGCCTCGGGGGCCTCTCGCTCGGCCACGGACTGGTGCCTGAGGGATGCCGGGCCACCAGCCATGCCGGGCCGCTGCCTCGGGGCTCACGGGGTGCCGCCCCGGGATGTGCCATGCCAGGCCCAGACGCTCCTGTGGGCGCTGCGGGGGGGGGGGCTGGGGGGGGCGGGGGGCCGGGAAAGGCTGCAAATGAGCCGGAGGGAGCTGCTCAGCCGAAAAAGGGGGGGGGGGGGGGGGGGGGCGCCGGGAGGCAGCGTGCCTGCAAGAGGCGCATTTAATGCAAGCGCTCCATATGGGCAGGAGTCTGCCAGGAACATACAGCTTCATTCCTCATTACGGGGGGGGGGGGGGGGGGGGAGAATGAAAATAAAAGGGGGAGAGAATCCAGCGCTCGGCAGCACGGGGAGCCGCCTCGGGGGCACGCGCACAGGGCCACCCACCAACACCCGGGCCGGCCACTTCCGGGCACCTCCTCTCACCGGCTCGGCCCACGCCACCTCGCACCGGACACAAGGCGCAGGGGCAGGGCCCGGCCCGGCCGCCCGCCCCGGAACCGCGGGGCCCTGCAGGAGAGGAGCCGGCGCTCACCCCTGCCGGGCCACCGTGCACCGGGCTGCTCCAGAGGCAGGACGTCCCCGTGAGCGCCTCCGCCTCCCTGCGCCTCCGTGGGACCGTGAAGCGGGCCGGGGCCCTGCTGAGGGGGCAACCCTGGAGCCCACCCCAGGGGAGCGCCCCAAGCCATGGCCAAGCGCAGGGCCGCCTGTCCGGCTCGGGGCGGGGGACCCCGATGCGGCCTTCCCACGCACAGCGGGGTGGGCTCAGAGGTCGTGCCCCGGTCGTGCGGTCCCGCTCAGGCCCGACCGGCCCGGGGAAGCACTGCTGCCGGTCAAGGCCCCCCCGCCCCCGGCTTGGCCTCCCCCGGGCGGGCTGGGCACGGGGCCCTGACCGGGCGGCCTGTGCCGAGACCATCCCGCTCGGAGACGGGGCCCCTCGCGGGCACCAGCGGCTGCCCAGGTGAGGCCGGGCCCCCCGGCCGAGAGGAAGGGGCTCCCAGCGCCCACACCCACGGCGGCTTCCTCCCAGGATGCCGCGCTGAAGACGCAGAGTGTGAGAGCGCGGCTGCCAATTATGTCACTACATTTCACAGATCAATTGGCATAAATGTTAAAATTAAAATGTAACATTTGAAAATCATTTTTTCTGCTTTCTGACAAGAGCTTCCAGTTTATCATTTACAGCTCACAAACTCGAGCTCTGCTGACAGCTCTCAGCTCCCCTGACAGGTCTGGATGCGGGCCGATTCGGGTGTCAACCTGATCGCTTACTCAAATTTGTGTTTAACTTTTTGCAAAGTTAATTACAGATTACCACCCAAATGTTAAACATAAATAAGGACACCTTTCCCCTCTTTCTGCTGGGAACCAAGCCATCCCTTCCCTCAAGATATCATTACAGAAAAGGCCATATGCCTCAAGCAATGTGGCCCAGAACGGATCCATGGGCGGATTTCAAGCCCCAGAATAACTTGGGGGGGCGGGGGGGGCTGCAGGGTGGAAGAGAGGAAAGCGCTCCAATTCCACCAGCTGCAAGGCGAGGAAGCGGATTTCAGGCACGCCGAGTGCGGCGGAGTGGGAGATGGACGGATCCGGCCCATGGGGGCAACATGCACCAGCATGCGTCTCTGAGTAAGCCCCGGCAAAAAGAGGAGCTGCGCAAGACAACTCGCCAGCGCACTGCTAATTAGAGCTCTCTTGCTGCCTCTCCGCCAGAATATGGCTCGGCGGCCAGATTGCGACACACGCCCACACGCTCTGCCGGCCACCGGGGCGGGGGGACGGGGGGGACACTGCGCACGAGCATCTCTGCACCGGGCTCGGCTGTCCTGCTTCAGGCAAAAGGCGAGCTCCGGGCGCCAGGCCTTCGTGCGCCAAGCACAGGCCCGGCCACCAAGGGGCCTCCTCCCCGACAGCCTCGGTGCGCCTCACTCACGACGCATCACGCCCCGCCAGCCGCCTCCAGCCAGTCCAGCGCTGGCGAACCTATGGCACGCGTGCCACAGCGGGCATGCAGGGCCCTCTCTGTTGGCACGCGACAGACGTCGCCCCAGCATCGCCCCAGCAGCCGAGCATCGGATAACAGAAACATAGAAAACAGAGCGAGTCAGAAGGGGCCGCCCGGGCCATCTAGTCTGACCTCCAGCACCAGCTGGCTCCGCTCACGACATGCCCATCATGTGCACGTCCAGCCTGTCCTTGAACACCCGCACCGATGGGGCCTCAACCACCTCCCGTGGGAGCCCATTCCACGCCCTCGGGGTCCTGACTGTCGGGAAGTGCTTCCTGGCATCCAAATGGAGCCTTGGCTCCCTGAGCTTTGTCCCGTTGGAGCGCATCCTGCCTTCCTCTGCAGGGGAGAACAGGTCTCTGCCCACCTCTGTGTGACTTCCCCTCACATACCTGTATGTCACCAACAGATCCCCTCTGAGTCTCCTCCAGGCTGAAGAGACCCAGTTCCCTCAGTCTCGCCTCATATGGCTTCTCCTGCAAACCGGCCACCAACCTTGTGGCCCTGCGCTGCACTGACTCCAACCTGGCTATATCCTTCCTGTAACGAGGGGCCCAAAACTGAACACAATACTCCCAATTGCGGGCACACCAGAGTCGTATAGAGTGGTAGTAATACCTCTCTTTATCTAGAAGCCACACTTCTGGCTCTGCAACCAAGGGTGGTGTTCGCCCTCTTGACCACCGCATCACACGGCTGACTTATGTTCAGCCTGGAGTCAAGCAGCACCCCGAGGTCCCTTTCACAAGCGCTGCTCTCCAGCCACTTGTCCCCTAACTTGTACTTATGGCACCTATTCCTATGCCCCAAGTGCAAGACCTGGCACTTATCCACACTGAATGCCATCTTGTTGTCTCCTGCCCACTTCCATAGTCTGTCCAGATCCTTTTGGATCTGGAGTACCTGCTCCTCAGTTGTGGCCTCTGCTCCAGTTTTAGTGTCGTCTGCAAATTTGATCAGCAGACTGTTCACCCCTTCTTCCATGTCATTTATGAAAAGATTAAACAGGATCAGCCCCAGGACAGTGCCCTGGGGGATCCCACCTGTCACTGGCTGCCATCCCAGTGATTCACCACTAATGGTTACCTTCTGCTTCAGTCGGTCAACCATGCCCTAATCCACCGGACGGTGCTTTGGTGCATCCCAAAACTCCTCAGTTTCTCAACCAGGATATCATGGGGCACTTTGTCAAAGGCCTTGCTGAAATCCAGGTAAACCACATCCACTGCATCCCCTCCATCCAGCCATCGCAAAACTTTGTCATAGAATTCCACAAGGTTTGTCTGGCAGGACCTGTTTTTGCGGAAGCCGTGTTGTGTGGCCGCCAGCCTCCCTTCCCTATCTAGCATTGCTAGATCCCTCACTATTATGAGCCTTTCCATTGTTTTTCCTTCAATGGATGTAAGGCTAACCGGTCTGTAATTCCCCATGTCCCTTCTACTACCCTTTTTGAAAATTGGGACCACTGACGCCACCCTCCAGTCCTCTGGAGCTTCACCCGTTCTCCATGAGGCCTCAAAAATGGAGGCCAGCGGGCGTGAGAGAACCCCGGCCAACTCTTTAAGTACTCTCAGGTGTAACCCGTCAGGGCCTGGCGCCTTTGTAATGTCCAATGCCCTGAGGAGCCCCTCGACTTCAAGGGGGGTGACTAATTTGTGCCCCTAAGTCCCCGGCCTCATCTAATCTCCTATGCGGATCTCCCCCGTCCTGCTTTGGGGAGAAGACAGAGGCAAAATAGTCATTTAGCATTTGTGCCTGTTCCCTCATAGCAGTCACTGGATCTCCTCCCTCCTTATTTAGTGGTCCCACCACTTGTCTCCCCTTCCTCTTCCTATTTACATGCTGACAGAAGCTCTTTTTGTTGCTCTTGATATTCTTGGCAAGTCTCAGCTCGTAATCAGCCTTAGCCTTGCGAAGAATCCTTCTGCAACGGGCCTCCTCCTCCCGGTATTCCCTTTTGTCTATTTGCCCCAGTGCCCATTTCCTATGGAGGTTCCTCTTTTGTCTAATCCCTCTAACCACCTCCTTTCGCATCCATGGTGGTGCTCTCCTTCGCCTCTCACCTTACTGACTAGAGGTATCGTCAAGGCTTGAGCCTCCAAAACCTCCCTTTTGAGTGCCAGCCACCCCTCCTCAACTCGCTTGCCTTCCAGTAACCTGTCCCAGGAGACTTTCCCCAGTCTGGCCTTCACTTGGCCAAAGCTGGCCCTCTTGAAGTCCCAGCTTCTAGTGCTCGACCTGCTGCACACCCGCAGTCCCCTGATCTCAAAGCAAAGGATGGAGTCATCACTCGCACCCAGAGCTCCCCTAATCTGTACTTCATCTATCAGCGCCTCCCTATTGGTCAAGACCAAGTCAAGGATGTTTCCCCCCCTCGTTGCCTCTCGGACCCTCTGTGTGAAAAACGCTCCCTCAATAGCTTCTAGGAAGCGACGTGACCTGGCTGTCACCGCCGAGTGAGTCTCCCAACTAATATCCGGGAGATTGAGATCTCCCATAATTAGTGTGTCTCTCCCCTGAGACATCCTTAGAATCTGGCCTGCCAGGACATCATCCAGGGTCTCAAGTTGACCTGGAGGGCGATAACATACCCCCACTGCCAGCTCCCTTTCCCTGTCAAAACCCCTAAGTTTCACCCAGACTGCCTCTGCCAAACCCCCATCTGTGCTGCATTCTGTCTCACTGCAATAATGGCACACACAGGGGCCATGCGCATGCTTGAAAAGGAGTAGCGGCGCCAGGTGATGACGTCACAGACTGCGATGCATCAGCCACAACTCGTCCAAACTTTTGCATGGCCAGTCAATGTGCTGCCAAGGAGATATATACATACTTAAGGCAGGCTTTCTCAACATCGCCCTCTCTTCAATGGAACTTTCACCCTATATTAGGGTTAGGGGTGTGCACCAGGGTAGGGTTAGGGTTAGGAAAACGAGGTGTCCTGGTGTGATTCTGACAGTTGGAATGTGTTTTGCATGGGCACAAATGTTAAACAGTGCAGAACAAGCTACTCAAGAAAGCCTTTTTCGAAATCGCCCTCTCTTCAATGGAACTTTCACCCTCTATTAGGGTGAGGGGTGGGCACCAGGGTAGGGGTAGGGTTGGAAAATCGAGGTGTCATGGCACGATTTGGATGGTTGCAGCTAGGAGTAGCGGTGCCAGGCGATGACGTCACAAGCCGCCTCTCATTAGCCGTGACTCATCCGAGCTTTTGCATGGCAGGTCAGTGCGATAAATAAGTGGGTTTTGGGTTGCAGTTTGGGCCCTCGGTCTCTGAAAGGTTCGCCATCACTGGCCTAGCCGCAAGCTGAGCTCCCCTGCTTCTGCAAAGGCCCGCCTTCTCCCTGAGCGCGTCAGGCAGGTGCGCAGGTGGAGGGCCTGGCGGGAGGGGAAGGAGACGCGTGGGCACCACAAAGGGCGCCGCAGGGCAAGAGGGAGCGCAATTTGGGGGCATGTGCCTGTGACTGGGGGAAGGTGCTCCTGCGGCCGCGCTTCCCAGATTTCTCCTCCAAGGAGCGCACAACAGGGAGGTCCCAGGTTTCCGGCGGTCGCCATGCACGGAGGTTCGGGCCACGTGTCTCCTGTCAAACGGGGCCCCAACAGATTCCGGGGCCCGGGACCCGTTGCCGGAAGGCCCTCTCCAGACTTCCCCCCAAATGTTCCTCCCCAAACGTGGAGACTTGCAAGCAAGGATCGACAGCGCATTCCTTGTGTGCTGCAAACGGAGGTGGGATGTGGTGCCAAAATACTTACTATTGGTGTTCCAAAAGGGATGTAACCTGCAAGGGGAAGAAAAGCACGTCTTACTCTTCAGACACTCCGCCTCCCCCGGAACAGAGTTACGATCACACGCCCTCTCCTGAGGACCCTCAAACCCAGGCAGGCTCATAGTGGGGAATGTGGTCTTCGGTTTCCCCAAAGACTCACATGAACATCAGCAGCCACTTAAGCGCAGATGCCGTCTCACCACACGCATGGCAAGAAGCTGGACTAGAACCACAGAACCACGGGAGAGTGGAGCTGGGGGAACGGGCCACGGGCCCCAGTTCAACGGTCCCCTCGCAGGGCTGTCCAGCTGCCCCTTGGGGGCCTCCGGCGAGGGAGAGCCCTCGCCTCCCCAGGTCACGGGCCCCGCCATCACGCTGCTCCAGCAATCGGGAAGGTCTTCCCGATGTCCGGCCGGAACCGGGCTTCCTGGGACACGCCCGCCTCACCTGCTCACGCCCAAGCGAGCCCCTGCCTCGCAGTGCCAGCGACGGAAGAGGCAAGAGCCGGGTTGCCCGAGGGCCAGCCTGCCCTCTTCCTGCCTGCTGCCCCCCTGCCGGAAGACCCAGCCTGGCCTCGTGGGCCCCCTTGCAACTGTGTAGGTGGCCAGCGACCGTGAGGATCACCGGATCACCAGCACGGGCCACAGAGCGGCTCAGCTGGCGCTGTGAAACCCCGCCGCGCCTCGTGCTCGCGCCTGCGTCACCGCCTGCTGCTGCCGTCCGCCAGTGCCCGGCACACTTCGGGGCGAGCCACACCGGCCGCCCGCCTTCCTCCTCCTGCCCCGACAACGGGGCCAATGCGTTCGCAGCTCCTTTTCCTGCGGCGAGAGGGGCCCATCTCCAGTGGGAAAGGCACCAAGAGTGGGAAGCAGTGGAAGGCGGGGACGGCTCTCCCGCTTGGCACTGCCCGCCACCTCCGTGGCACTCGCCCGAGTCTGCAGGGAGTCCAGCAGGGGGGCCTCAGCTGCCCCCCTCCCTGCGGCTCCGCCTGCCTCGTGCAGCCACCTCCGTTGGGCTTTAAAAAACTGCCAGGGCACGTCCGCAGCTGCAGCGAGGGCCCTGCCGAGAGCGCCCCCCGTGCCTCCCTCTCCTTGCGCAGCCAGCAAGTCGGGAGGAGGTGGACAAGACGGAGGGCTGTCGGTTCGACACTGGGGGAGCGGCTGCGCCCCCAGCCCCGCGGCACTCGCTCCTTCGGCTCGCCACTGACTCTCTGCGCCTTGCAAACGGGACCCTCCCTTCCTTTGCCGTTATTTCCCCAGAAAGGGACACCAAGCCAGTCCGCCAGCGCGACCAGGGCCCAGGCACAAGCTTCCTGCAGGCCGCCCAGGGTCCGGGCCTTACCTGACATCCTGAAAGGCATGAAAATCGTCTCGTTGGTGTCCGGGTGGAGGATGGCCTGCAAAAGAACCAGACACAGTGAGAAAGGGGCAGGGGGCCCCGCACGCCCGGGAGCAGCTCTCACGGACCGCCCGGGGGCTCTCCCTCCTCCGCCAAGCGGGCGGCCTGCACACTGCGGGGCAGGGAGGCCACGGCCACTCGGGGGCTCGGCCTCATGCAGGGCGCTGGCCCCAAGAGGGCTTCCCGGTGCTGCCCCGCCCCGCCTCGCCGCCCAAGCCCTCAGACTCGAAAGCTGCCAGAGACAAGGAGACAAAGGGCTGGAGAAGGGCTGCCGGCCCGTGTCGCGCGTGCTGAGAGCGCCCGCCCTTTGCCGTCCTTTCCACAAAACGGAGTCTCCGCTCCCACACCGGTTCCTCACCCCGGGTGCCCCGGCAGACCCAGCTGCCCTCCGCAGACTGCCCCGTGCTCTCCCCTTCACGCCCCAACCTCCACCCCACACCACCCCGCGTCCGTCCTGCGCTGGAGACTGCTCACTGCCCCCTGCGGCGCTCCATCCTCCCCGAGCCGCGCGCGGCTGGAGCCATGCTGGGGAAGGCCCCCAGAGGGGGTCCCCACAAGCCTCGCGGCTGCAGGGCAGGCAAGGCCGAAGGCCAAGCACGGAGCCCGTGAGGAGGCGGGCTCAGCCCTCTGCCCCCCAGCAGCCGAAAAGGAGCAACCCGCCCCTGCGGAGGAGGCCTGCCCAGGAGGGCCGTGGCCACGCTCCGCCATGCAGGAGCCTGGAGCGCAAGGGGCTCCACTCCTGAGCCTGTAGGCGGCCGCCAGTGCAGGCGCCGCTCTGCCCCGCGCCTCAGTGTCCCCCCGGGCCAGCGCAGGGGGCGGCCGAGGGCAGCTCCGGAAGAGCCTTGGGAGAGGAACCGGGAGGCCCCGGCAGGCAGAGCGAGGCAGCCGAAGAGCGGTAGGAAAGGCAGGCAGCTGTCCCCTGCGGAGGGTGAGAGCAACACAGGGCAGAGGAAAGCAAGAAGCGTTACCTGCTTTATTTTCTGGGCTCTCCAAAGCTAGAAAAACAAAAGACACAGGTCAGCCAGGAAAGCAGCTTCCAGAATCGATGCTCACACGAGACATGACCGTGCGGTGCAGAGGTTCCAAAGGAAGCGTCAAAGAGCACCGCTGGCCTGCCGCTGCCTCGGCCACGAAGCAAGCGGCCACGGAGCCCAGGCATGCCTCCACACGAGCCAGAGCCCCCGGGGGCCACCCGAACACCCGGGAGCAGCCACGCCTCAGGCAGAGGGGAAGAGGCTGCGCCTGCCTCGCAAAGAGCCGGGTGAGGCACCTGCACCGGGCCGCCCAGCCAGTCCTCGTGACACGCCCAGCCGGCGAGGAAGTGGCCACCCGTCCCCCGTGCAGAGCATCCAGGGGCCCAGAGGCCGGAGATTGGCAGGGTGGCCCTCCAGGCCACCCTGGTGCACCTCTGCTCCTGCCTCCGGGAAAAGGGAATGCTGCCGCGGGTCCCGGAGGACAAGGCCCCTCTTCCCACCCCTTCCCGGATGAGTGCGCAGCAGAGATGGGGTGAGGAGCTTCCAGGTGCTGCTGGCGACCCAGCCCCCACCTACCCCCCCTTGCCCCGCACCGGCACACTTCTCTTGCTCGCAGCAGGAGGCGTTTCTGCAGCACGCTGCTGCGCCCAAGCACCACTCCTCTGTGACAACCCCGTGATGGGGGCCCTGCAGGGTCACACCTCAGGGAACCCCAAGAGCCAGGCGCTGGCTGCGCATCGCCGGACAAGCAACACTCATACTAGCTTTGCGCCAAAAGAAGCAGAATGCGGAGCGCACTGCCTCCGAGGATGTTCACGTTCCGAGAATGCAGGCCAAGCACCTGGCTCAGCTCCCCCACCAGGCACCCCCAGGGGAGTCACACGGAAGCGTCCACCGTCCCAGCCGGTGCCAACCTGCAGGGCACAGGGGGCAATGCCCAGCCAGCCTTCCTGCTCGCGGAGCCCTGCCCACGGAGAGCACCCGGCCAGGCCCGGCGCCACCGAGCCCCCCCTCGCTTTCGCCGGGCAAGCAGGTCAAACGTCGAGGGACCGTCGAGCCCGGTGGCGCGCACCTGCCGCCTGGCACGGCCATATTCGGGGGGGAAATGAAGCCGCCGGCGCCCGACTCCGACGGCCTGGCACGCAAGAGGCTGCTTGAGAGCAATGCTGCCCACAGCCTGGCAGCTCCAAGAGGTGCTCTGAGGGGCCCCCTGCTCAGAGGCTGCCCCACCGGGCCTGCCTGGAGGAGCGCACCGGCGGCCACGGGGGCCGGCCTGCCGGTCATTTCTTCGCACCCTGAGCTTCGCAAGGAGCCATTCGGGGGGGGGGGTGCATGAGAAAGAGCGACCCTGTTGAGCTGGGCTGGGAAGCCTCGCACGGCCCGCCACCTGCCCCGCAGCAGGGCCGCTCACTCCCCCAGGCCCCGCCGTGCGCCTTGCTGGAACCAGCACAGTCACAGACGCGAAGCAGCTGCCCAGGCGAGCCCTGGATGTGCCGGGTAATGGAAATTCACAGCACTTAAACAGCGCTTCGCCCATGCTAATTAATTAGTCCTCTCAGAGTCCTCACCCGAAGTCCGGAGAGGGAGCTTTGGGCAGCGGGAAGTGTTCGGGCCACCACAGGGGGGCGGCCCTGCAGGTGAGAAAGGTTCCTGCCACGCTAATTGGGTGCGAAGACGAGGGGGCCTGGGAGGGCCTCCTGAGAGCGGGGCCGGGAAGGGCTGGCCGGGCGGGGGCTCTGCACTCTGCTGCCGCCTGCACACCTCCATCTGGGCTGGGGGGCCCTGCGGAGGGCAGGGCTCTGGGCCAGGGAGGGGCACGGGGAGCGAGAGGCTCGGCCCCAAAGGGGGCAGTGGTGGCGGGGGCTCCAGCTGCTCCCCCTCGCCAAGGCCAAAGCCCCCGCCTGGGTCTCGAGAAGACGCCCGGCTGAGGCTGCGGGCCCGGGGCACATGCGCACCCCTGCCTCGTGCTGGCCTCTGCACCGGCTGTGCGGGTCTCGGCTGACTCGCCGGCCAGCTGCAGCCGCCGGTCCCTGACCCGCTCCTGGGGGCGTGGGGTGACCCGCCGGGGACGCTCCTGCTCTGCCGAGGGCAAAGCCGGTTCCTGGGGCAGACGCTGCGACGGCGTCTGCCCCGACGCCTCCCGGGACCGGCCGGGAGCCCGCTTGCCCGCCTCGGGGAGCCTCCGGCTGCCATGGGCCATTTGCACCAGGAGTCCAGGTGGGGGGAGTTGGGCTGATCTTGCGGGAAGGAGAGGAAGCTGCTCGCTGCTCCTGAGCCGCCAGGGGGGTCTTTTTTAAGCGACCGTGGGGCGCTCCTCCCCTCTCCGGACTTCTCGCCCAACCGCCTCCCTCCTTGCGCCGCCAAAGCCGCCCTTCTCTCCAGCCACCCTCCTGGGCCGCCAAGAGCAGAGAGCTGGAACCGAGCAGAGCGGCTGCCAGCGCCCCCGCGGAGCCAGCCCACGCCGCGTCGGAAGCCTTGGAGGGGCCACCGACCGCCCGCTTCCGTCGCCACGGGACACAGGGACGAGCGGCGCTTCTCCGCAGGCCGGCCGCTCGCTGGACACGCGCTGCAGGGCGGCGGGTCGCGTTCTGCGTCCGCCTCCACAGTCGAGCGGGACTGGACCCCGCAGCTTCGGGGCACGACTCTCCTGAGCAAAGGGCCCCCGCAGGCCCCCGTGGGCGCTGAAATGCCGCGAGGACCGTAAGAGCTGCTCTGCTCTATCCGGCTGACACCCGGCACAGCTCTCGGGGAAAACGCAGGTGGGCCCCACCACCATCTCTGAGGCTTTGGCAGGACGCGTGGGATCGGCACCAAGCCGGGCCCCACGGAAGGGCTGGCACAGCAGGCGTGCGCTCCCCAGGCCACGGCCGCTCCCTTCGGGGCACTCGGGACGCCCCCAGCCAGAAGAACTGGGACGAAAGCCGCCCCCCAGGCAACTGGCGAGGACGGCGACGTTAAAGCCCAGCTTGGCTCCACCAAGAGACCAGCAAGCGTCCAAGGCACTGGTCCACTGGGAGCATCTCAGGCCGTGCCGGCTCACTGCATGGCAGCACCGGGGACCCGGCCCCTCCGGCCCGGAAGAGGGGGCGCCTGGCCTGAGGCGGAGGGCACCGGCGCAGCCCTCTCCAGAGCACAGGCAGGCAAGCGCTCCTCTGGCGGCGTTTCGGATCACGGCTCCCATCAGCACAGCCGATGCGCCAGGATTGTGGACACCGGTGTCCCAGCCACACGGAGCAGCCCAGCCTGCCCAGCCTGCTCAGAGTTTTTCAAGGTGCTTGAAAAAGCTACCATGACCCCAGAGCTGTTTTTGTTGGTATTTTTGCAATCTGCTTAGGGCGTCCTTGGGACTAATTTAATTGAGGAATGTAGGTGGGGGGGGGAAGAAGGAGAGAGAGAGAGAGAGAGCGTCACTCAGAGCAAGCACTGGGGCAGGGGAACGGTGAGAAGCCGGAACGGTCCTCACTGCAACACACTGTGAGCTTCCCGGGGTGGCAGGTCTGCCCGGCTGCTGGCGAGACGGCCCTCCCTCCGACCTGCTGGCTCTCCTGCGCTCCACCTGGCCAAGGTGGTTCTGCGCTGCCGATTAGAGTCACCCCCCTTGAAGTCGAGGGGCTCCTCAGGGCATTGGACATTACAAAGGCGCCAGGCCCTGACGGGTTACACCCGAGAGTACTTAGAGAGTTGGCAGGGGTTCTCTCACACCCTCTGGCCTCCATTTTTGAGGCCTCGTGGAGAACGGGTGAAGCTCCAGAGGACTGGAGGGTGGCATCAGTGGTCCCAGTTTTCAAAAAGGGTAGTAGAAGGGACATGGGGAATTACAGACCGGTTAGCCTTACATCCATTGAAGGAAAAACAATGGAAAGGCTCATAATAGCGAGAGATCTAGCAATGCTAGATAGGGAAGGGAGGCTGGCGGCCACACAACACGGCTTCCGCAAAAACAGGTCCTGCCAGACAAACCTTGTGGGATTCTATGACAAGGTTTCGAGATGGCTAGATGGAGGGGATGCAGTGGATGTGGTTTACCTGCATTTCAGCAAGGCCTTTGACAAAGTGCCCCATGATATCCGGGTTGAGAAATTGAGGGGTTTTGGGATAGACCGATGCACTGCCTCTTGCCTGAGGGACCGAAAGCAGAGGGCTACTGTTAGTGGGGAATCACTGGGATGGCGGATGGTGACAAGCCCTGGGACTGATCCTGTTCAATCTTTTCATCAATGACATGGAAGAAGGGGTGAACAGTCTGCTGATCAAATTCACAGACGACACTAAAACTGGAGCAGTGGCCACAACTCAGGAGCAGGTACTCCAGCTCCAAAAGGATCTGGACAGACTATGGAAGTGGGCAGGAGACAACAGGAAGGCGTTCAGTGTGGGTAAGTGAAAGGTCTTGCACTTGGGGCATAGGAATGGGTGTCATAAGTACAGGTCAGGGGACAAGTGGCTGGAGAGCAGCACTTGTGAAAGGGACCTCGGGGTGCTGGTCGCCTGCAGGCTGAACATGAGCCAGCCGTGTGATGCGGTGGTCAAGAGGGCGAACGCCACCCTTGGTTGCATAGCCAGAAGTGGGGCTTCCAGGTTGAGAGAGGTACCTCTGCCACTCTACACGACTCTGGTGCACCTGCAAATGGAGCATTGTGCTCAGTTTTGGGCCCCTCATTACAGAAAGGATAGAGCCAGGCTGGAGTTAGTGCAGCATAGGGCCACAAGGTTGGTGGCCGGTTTGCAGGGGAAGCCATATGGGGAGAGACTGAGGGAACTGGGTCTCTTCAGCCTGGAGAAGAGGAGACTCAGAGGGGATCTGTTGGCGACATGCAGGTATGTGAGGGGGTGTCACATGGAGGTGGGCAGAGACCTGTTCTTCCCTGAAGAGGAGGGCAGGACGCGCCCCAATGGAGCCAAGCTGAGGGAGCCCAGGTTCCGTTTGGATGCCAGGAAGCACTTCCTGACAGTCAGGACCCCGAGGGTGTGGAATGGGCTTCCATGGGAGGTGGTTGAGGCCCCATCGATGAGGGTGTTCAAGGATAGGCTGGACGTGCACATGGTGGGCATGTCGTGAGCGGAGCCGGCTGGAGCTGGGGGTCAGACTAGATGGCGCGGGAGGCCCCTTCTGACTCGCTGTTTCTATGTTTCTGTTGAGTCACTTTTTGGCATGAGGGAGGGAGGCAGTGGGAGGGAGGGGCAGGGGGTTGCCATACAGGTAGTCCCCAGGTTATGGACTTACAGACGCGTGGCCTGCCATTAACCTCACATGAGTATCTCTTGAGAACTATGTGAGGCATTTGTGATGGGTCATCGGAGAGCACGTAGTTCCCTAGAGATACTCACGGCTTTTCATTCTGCAGTGTCAGCTCAAGCGCACTCAAGAGCCAGTGCGTTTCGGGGCATGTGTGGGGCCTCAGGGATGAAGCCAAACCATGGTGGAACCGTTTCTGGGAAGGGCCGAAGCAGAGGGGCCCACGCGACGCCTCCCTGCCCCTCTGTTGTGGCTGCTTTGAAGGACTCCTCACCCGGGGAAAGCCACTGCTGTGGCTGCAGAGGACTGCCCTGAGCTGGAGGAGGAGCCAAGACCCTCGTGGGCACCCCGTGCTTCCCCGAGAGCAGGAGCCGGAGGCAGAGGGGCTCGCCCCTTAGAGAGCAGGGGGAGGCACGGCTTCAGCAGAGACCCGGATGGGGGGCCTTCCGGGAGGCAGCATGCGGGCACATCTCATCAGCTGCGCTGAGGTGCGGCTGGCCACGAATGAATGCAGGCAGAGCTGCAAACAGCAAGCGGCGTTATCTGTGTTTTCGGACTTCGCTGAAGATGGCCGGTGTCGAGATGCCCGGCCTGTTCGCTGGGCATTCTTCCAGACCCCCGGCTGGAAACTTCGGGAGCTCACTGGGCACATGGGCTTGGCCCCCGGCCCGAAGTGACAGTCTTTAGGAAGGTCACGCAGAGACCGGGGACACCCAGGCCCAATTCGAAGTGCTTACGATAGCATACAAGACCCTACATGACTTGGGGCCAAGGCATCCAAGCGCAGGCCTGTCTCCGTATGCCCCCCCACTCAGTCATGGAGACCCTCATCTGAGACCCTTCTCTGAATCCCCCCCTCATTTGAGTGGTGGGGGGGATGGCTAGGAGAAGGTCCTTTTCTGCAAGAGCGCCCCGCTTGTGGAATGCACTTCCGGGGAGCTTTCTCTTCTCTCATTCCGACACCAGCTGAGGACATTCCCTTTCTGCAAATATTACAGTAAGTTGGCTGGTTTTATAATGGTTTACTATATTGATCTTATGCTACAACTGCCATGTTAAAATTTCAGTTGCCAGATAATTTTATTTATTATGATTGTTTTAATTAGGTTGCTTATATGGCTTTATTATTACGTTAATGCCTGGTTTTATCGTCTTACTGTACTATTTACTGGTAGTTTTTTATTGTTTATATGAAATTGTTTTGTTGTTGCCACCGTGGGCACTGTGAGCTGCCCAGTGAGCCCCACAGCTTATGGGCGCTGCAAATAAACATGGGAAGGAATAAACACTTCAGTCGGCCAGACGTGGGCTGCAGCGGCCTCCCCGCCTACTGCCATCGTGCTGCCTTAGCTAGGAACATACATCCTCCCTGGCCAATACGGTCGTGCAGGCTGTGGACGATGGAATGTGTCGTCCAACGCACCGGGGGGCAGGCTGGGCACGGCCCATCTGCAGACACGGCCGGGGTGCACAAGCCAGCCTGGCCAGGCCTCAAGAGTGGTGAGACAAGAGCCAGCCGAAGACAGAAGCTGAGAGCGCCAATCGACCCGGACAGCAAGGCTCTGCCTGAACCGAGGCGGCTCTCGCACCCCTGCCGGGCCACTGGCCACGGGAGACGGAAGGGGGACGCCTCCTTTCAAGGCGGCGCCTCGTTTTACCGAGGACGGGCCACCGCGCCCCCTTGCCGGCTTCCCCGGCGTCTGGCCGCCGACTGAGGGAGAACGGGGAGAACGGCCCCGAGAGGTGGCGGCAGCAGATCTGCAGGGCTGGAAGTTCAATCTGCCATTCAAATTCTGAAGCTTTACCTGGGACTTGAAACTCGCGTCCTTTGGACTTCTTGGCAGCCTCAGACTGTCAAGGAGGAAATCCCATAAGCTGCCGAACCTAAAGCCCCACACCGCCTCACGCCGGTCCCTGCCAGCTATTGGACAGGGTCAAATATATTGCCTAAAATATCAAACATGGACCCCCCCCGCTCCCCGCCCAGGATCACTGAAGATCCAAATGGGCCTATTCAGTGAACATGGCCAGTATTTGCAGCCCGTGGCTTTGGCTGCCCAGGAGAACAACATGCGAAGAAGGCGCTGGGGCCCCCCCTCGGTCCAGCACCGTGGGCTTGATCCCGCAAAGCCACCCCTTTTCCGCGGGGAAAGCACCCGGCGGCTTTCTGGGCGACACACGAAGGCAGCGAGAACCCCAGTTGCGCAACCCCTGCCGCACGAGCACCACAACGCCCAGCTGCCTGGATGGACGCTGCGTGAGACGCCGGGAGGTCAGTGCGCGGAAAGCGGGGCTGGGGGCGAAGGACGCGCACGTGGGACGCGCACCTAAGCCTCACGTTCCCGGCCGGCAGGGATGCCTGTGGCACACGGACCACCTGCCCGCGAGGGAGCCCACGCTGCGTGTGCGCGGCACCTGGAAAGCAGAGCGTTCCCTCGGATTACCTCTTTGCTGGTGACCCCCGGGGGCAAAGTCCCGCGTTTAAAGTCCTCCAGCAACTGCACAGCTTCTTTGAGGCGACTCTGTAAACAGACAGCAAAGGTTTGATGTTAGCACACAAGACCCTCCGCCGGGAAAATCGAGACAGAGGCGGGACAACGCGCCAAGGCGGCTGCTGTGCTGAGGTGGGGGCTGCCTGGCTGAATTCTGGCATGAGCCGCCTCCCCCCGGGGGCCGGAGCACCTGCACTCCCACTGGTCTGCCGCCCTCTGCAAGCGGGGGCTGGAAGGGGGACACCCACCACCACCATGCCTCGGGGGCTTAACCACCGGCCTGGCCCGGCTGCAGAAGCAGCCTGACCTTCGGGGGGGGGGGCATGGAGCAGGAAGCGGCTGGGGGGCAGGGAGCGCTGGGGGGCAGGACCCGTGACCCAGCCATGGTGGGGGGTCTCAGCCACACTCTTCCGAGCGTTCCCCCGCAGGAGGCCACCCAGCTCCTCTCGCTCCAGGAGCTGTCAGGACGCAGAGCGAGCAAACGGGATCGCGCACCATCACCCGGGCCTCGGCAGGCGGCTCCACACACTGCTCCTGCACGGGCAGGTCCCACGAGGGCAGTGGGCAGACGCCGTTGTGGTCCACGGGCGCCCCCCCCAGCTGGCGTGCAGAGCTGCCCCGGCAAGCTGGACAAACGCAACCAGGCCGAATTCATCCTGCTGCTCTGGTGCATTAATGCCCTGCCTCAGAGCGGGGGGCTCCGAAAGCAATTCCTGCCAAGGCTGCCTGGAGGAGGGGGCCTGGAAGGGCCCCTCAAGGCCGTCAGAGCCAGCCCCTGCCTGGCGCAGGGCCCAAGTTCAGGCATTTCTGCATTCAGTTCGGTGCCCCCCACGCAGAACTCCCTCTGCCAGGAGAAAGGGTTTTTTGATCTGTGTTTCATCAGAGTTCACAACAGGTTTCGACCAAACGTGCCAGGCCGCTGTCTCCGGAGGCGTTGGCCTCTGCCCTGCTGCACCCCACGAAAGCCCTTCACACTCCGCGAAAGCAGGGCAGCCAGTGCCACCAGCCTGCCCTTCAGAGGCGCAGCGTAATTCATTCCTTCCCTTCTCATTCCCCCAAGGACACCCTTCAGTTAGCTAGTCAGAAACCACAGCAAGGAACACGTTTCATCCATGAATTTGTCCAGTTCCCCTTTAAAGCCAGAGAGCCAGTGTGGTGTGGTGGTTAAGAGCACAGGACTGGAACTCAGACGATCTGGGTTCGAGTCCCCGCTCGGCCATGGAGCCAACTGGGTGACTTTGGACCAGTCACAGACTCTCAGCCCAACCTACCTCACAGGGTTGTTGTTGTGGGGATAAGATGGAGGAGCAGATGTAAGCTGCCTTGAGCCCTTTGTAGGAAAAAGGCAGGAAATAAATTGATAAAATCGATAAATAAAGCCACCCAGATGGGTGGCCATCCGTACATCTTGCAGAAGTGAGTTCCACAGTTTCACTCTGTACTTGATGAAAGACTTCCTTCTGTCAGCCCTGAACCTCCCGTCAATCAGCGCCATGAGGTGCTCACTTTCTGTTCTAATAATATGAGAGAGTATGACTTGAAACAATTCCTCATAAAGGTGAAGAAAGAAGCACAAAAGCAGGACTGTCGCTGAATATTAAGGAAACAAAAACATGTTCACAGAAGAATCACAGAACTTTACTGTCAACAGTGAAGAAATCGAAATGGTGAAAGATGTCACGTACCTCGGCTCAGTCATCAATTCAAAGGGCGACTGCAGCCAAAAAATTGGAAGAAAACGGAGACTTGGAAGGGCAGCAGTGATGGCACCAGGAAAGACCAAGCGGAAGGACATTTTACCGGAGACCAAAGCCAAGAGCGTGCGTGTTGTCATGCTCCCAGTCACAATGCATGGGTGTGAAAGCTGGACAGAGAAGGAAGTCGATCGGAAGAAAAGCAGTGCATTCAAAACATCGTGCTGGAGAAGCGCTTCTGTGCACACCCTGGACCCACAGAAAGACCAACAAGTGGGCCTTAGGTCAACTCAAGCACAGCATTCCTTAGAAGGAGGACGAATCTGAGGCCGCCGCACTTCAGGCACATCATGGGAAGGCGAGACTTGCTGGAGAAGACAATCATGCCAGGGAAAGGTGAAGGCAGGAGGTGGAAGGGAAGAGCAAAGACGAGATGGACGGACGGTGTCGGGGAAGCCACGGCACGGAACTTGGGAGAGCTGAGCAGGGCTGTGACGGGCAGGTCACTTTGGAGCGATTCCTTCAAAGGGTCACCATTAGCTGGAGACAACTTGACAGCACGTGACAAAATTGATAAGGGAGAAGGGGAAATGTCTCCTCATACTGGCTCATATTCTGCTTATGATTGACAACAATTCCAAGATCCTTCTCACTTGCAGTACCATTAAGCCAAGTATTCCTCATCTTATCATAGAAGAGCAGAGTTGGAAGAGGCCATGAAGACCATCAGGTCCAACCCCCTGCTATTGAAGGACACCAGTTCACACCACCCCACTCAGAGGGCGGCCCAGTTTCGCCTTGAATGTCTCCAGGGTGGGAGAGCCCACCGCCTCTCCAGGCAGCTGGATCCCCTGGCATATTGTTCTGACAGTGAGGAAGCTTCTCCTGATGTCCAGCCTGAATCTGGGCTGCTGCAACTAGACTTGATTCTTCCGCGTCCTGCACTCCGGCATCAGCCAGAAGAGACCTCCTTCTCTGCGACAGCCTTTGAGGTACTTGCAGAGGGACCCCATGTCTCCCTTCAGTCTTTGCAAGACTGAACATGCCCAGCTCCCTCAGTCTCTCCTCATACAGCAGTGTTTCCAAACTGTGGATCATTTTTGTTGCCTTCCTCTGGACCCTTTCTAATTTTTTTTTTTTTTGCATCTTTCTTAAATCTTGATGCCAAGAATGGGAAACAGTATTCCAGACGAGGTCTCAGTAGCAAGTAGTATAGGGGAACTTCTACTTCTTGTGATTTGGAAGTAATACTTCTGTTAATGCATCCCAAAATAGCACTTGCCCTTTGGGCAGCTGCATTGCGTTGCTGGCTCCTGTTTAGCCCATTGTCCACAACTACTCCAAGATCCTTTTCTCTTTCAGTTCTGCTGAGCCACGCGTTCCTCATCTTGTCTCGATGCGTCTGGTTTCTCTTTCCCAGGTGGAGGACTTGGCGCTTGTGCCTACTGAATCTCATCCTGCTGCTTTCAGCCAAGTGTACAAATTTGTCAAGGTCGCCCTGGATCTTCATTCTGTCTTCTGGGGTGTTTGCTATTCCACCAGTTTTGCATCATCGGCAAATGCGATTCTCTTTCCTTGTACTTCCTCGTCTAAATCATCAATGAAGATGCTGGAGAGCACTGGGCCCAGGACCGAGCCCTGCGGCGCCCCGCTCGTCACCTCCCTCCAGTCTGAGAAGAATCCTGCAAGTGTGCAGCTGGTTCCCTTTTCCTGAGTGCAGAACTTGGCATTCGTCTTGCTGACTTTAGTTCTGTTGTTTTCAGCCCAGCGCTCCAGCCCAGCAAGCGCACCTTGACTCTTCTCTCCGCCTTCAGAGTATCTGCTGTCCCACCCCGTTGCGTGTCATCCGCAGTTGTGATCATCCTTCCTGCACTTCCCCATCGAGTCATTAATACAGAAGTTGCAGAGCCCTGGTCCCAGGATGGTACCTTGCGGCACCCCGCTCGTTACATCTCCCCAATTCGAGAAGCCGCCACTGACGGGCCCGCTTTCAATCCAGCTCTGTGACCAACAGTGGCTCCTCCTGATCGTTGTTTCATCCAGTCCATGTTTAGCCAGTTTGCTGATCAGGGTGTCATGGGGCATTTTGTCAAAAGTTTTGGCAGAGCACCGCCTCAGCCCATCCGGAAGGCTACCCAATCAAAAAATGAAATTAGTTTGGCAGGACTTTTCTTGAAAAAGTTTGCTCAGAGATGTGTGGTGCCAAAGACTGAAACATGCCTGCAACCATTTTTTTAGGCTGGTAAATATATCAAGGAGACCAGAACAGGCCTCTGCCAGACTATTTCTTTTGTTAATGTCTCTGAGATGATCACAGGTTTGCGGATCAATTAATTGCATCTGAAAAAGTTACTTGCGTCTTCTGGTGCTATTGAAATTGATTCTGAAACATTCCTTGTTTCGTTCCATGCTTATGGCAATCAGGGAATCAGTTCTGGAATCCACCCCGCTGATGTGTCTTTGATGTCTTTCAACGCTGGATTGTAAATTTCTGTCTTTCCCAAGTGTTAGTTCATTTCAGCATGAGAAGTCTGAAAAGTGACTTCCATTAATTTGCTTCACAAAAATGTTTCATTTTGCTCCAAAAGCTTTCCATTCAGAACGGATGTCCCACACAAGCTTTCTCTCCCCCACAACCTTAGACTGAATGTGCTCAGCCGCTCTGTGATATCGGTTAAGAAAGCCGAATCAACATCCAACCGGAGTCAGAAAGTACTTCTTGACCACCTCTGCCCTTGAGAAAGACATCGACTTCTCAACGACGACCAAAACAAGCTTGAGGACGCTGCCGCTGCGACTGAGCCACCCGACCTCTGCGTGATGCAAGACATCTCCACATTCTGCATCTATCTCCGAGAGAAATTTTGAAGCTGACGATGAGAATGGCCACGATGCCTGATGCAATTAACGTTGGATACAATAGGCGGGACACTTTCCCACTGGCGACTCTCGCCACACAAGGCCTGCTGGTGGATGATGCAGTGAAACCGCGTGGGAAGTGTGGCATTTAATTCCAGCATCTCTTCGTTGCTTCCTGCAACGGCACCAGCTTTGCTCCCCACATTTCTTGCACCATCAGTTGTGATGCTGCTCCATTTATCCCAACTCAGACCCAGCTTTTCTGCTGATGCACACACCTTCAGGAACGTTTTCTGTGGTTGTAGTGCCTTTCCAGCTCTGCATCACACACAATTCTTCCGTAACTCCCAAATCGGAATCTATCCCTGATCAATTTTAGTGGCTGAGCAGCATCTATAGTGCCGTTTGCTTGCATCTCATGCCAAAGGAAAAAATCGAAACGTTGTGCCTTGACCATCGGTAACATATGCAGCTCTC